TGGCCGCCCCTCGGAGCCATCCCGGCAGCGGGAAGGGAGCGCAGTGAGTCAGGACCCGCCGGACAGCCCAAGTCTCACTGCAAACCACAGGCAAGTCCAGCTCATCACCCAGGGCAAGGGGTGGGACAGGGGAGGCAGCCCCCGGGCACCAGTCCCATTCCCTCCCGGTGCAGACGTTACCTCATTCCCACAGAGGAGCGGGAACCCCCCCCGGGGCAGGGAGACACCCACCCCGACCCACACAGCTCCCTGAGGCCTCACCCCACCGGGAGCACGGGTTCCCCTGCACCAGGGATGTACCTTGTCCTCAGCATGGCTCTGTGGCATGGCGCTGCATCAGCCCCATGCTGGGAAGCAGAGGCAGCCCTCCCCTCCCACCGGGGATGCACAGCGGAAGGTGAGCAGGGCCCTGAGCACCACACACAGCTCCCAGGCACTGACAGACAGACAGTCAGACGTGGGTAGGCTGCAGCCATTCCAGCTCCTCCAGCACAGAACTACTTGAGGCGCTTGGACCCAGACCAAGTATTTCCTCAAGTCCTGTTCGACATGAACATAAAAGGAGCGAGCCAGATTCCCATCGCTGTCAGAGGGCTGAGAAAACCCTGCAATGAACCCCAGCCCCTCCTTGCCCATGCGCAGGGCCCAGCTTGTCCCAGAGCTGTGCTCCCCTTCCCCACGTCAGCATTGGTCCTCCACGTGAGCCCAAACCCCACAACCAGGCTGGATGTGACCTGGCTCTACCTGTATCCCACTGCCATCCCCAGCAGGACATGGGTACCCCTTTGATGTCCCCATACCACCCAGCACCCACTCCTCCTGCCTAGCGCCAGAGGGTGCCCCGGGCATGAAGTGGCGGCGGCCGGCTCCTGGCCACACGGCTGCAAGCCCCAGCTTGCTGCCCTGGAGGGCTGGGGAAGGCACGGGGTGACTGCATAGGTTTGGAAGCAGGAGCAGGATCTGGGAGAAGTTTTCACACGGCTGCATGGGAAGGGGAGAGCTCACAAGCTGCGTCACGCACCGCACCCAGCCTGGCCAGCACTGCCACGCTCCCCTTCCCGCTCTGCATGCCAGGAAACCCCTTCGGCAGGTGCCAGCTCAGCCGGGAGCCATGGCAGTGCCAGCCCTCCCACTTCCAGGGCTTCCTTCCTCCCCTCTCTGCCCAGCCAGCCCTTTGTTCCCTAGTGCCTCCATCACTGCACCCTGTGAAGTGCCCACCACAGCCCCTGTCCAGGGCTCAGGCACCCACACAGAGCCTCACGCAGCACAGGGCGTGAGGGGTACCTGTACTGGGGCCAAGGCAGCATTCCCCAGCGCTGTGCTGCTGGCAGCACCAAGGGTCTCTCCTCTTTCTCAGCTGGCAGACACCACACAGTATCCAGACAGCAGCCCCTACCCTGGCTCCACCACAAGCAACTCATGACCAAGGTCTCACAGCCTGCCCAGCCAAGATGTCAGGACTCCAGCAGAGCCCCTTACAACAAAAGGACCAGGGTGGCACTTCCTTTGTGTGACCACCAAGCTGAAGCAGTCTCTCAGCTCACCCAGCAGCGTCACAGGGATGAACGCAGCCAAAAGCCAAAGCACACAGCAGTGCTGCTTTCCCCCTGTGCTTGCCTGCCTCACAGAGTAGGGCCCTACTGCAGCCCTCAAAGGCAGGGCAGGACACTTCCTTCCAGCCTGCTCCAGCAGACCCAGGCCTGGCAGGACAGCCTGTCTGCTGCTCAAGGGAAGCAGTGGCCAAGGACAGCAGCATGCTCTGGGCAGGAGCTTTAGGGCTGAGGATGCCTCTGGGGTGCAGGGTCACCCCTTCCTATCAGACAGGGCCCACCACCCCTCTACACAGCACAACTAAAGCTGACTATATCCCCTGGGAACATCCTCACTGCTCCTGCCCACCCAGGACAGCAGCACTGCCCAAGCCCCGAGGGCAGCACTGGACCGCTTGAAGAGCTGGGATGTTGCTTTATGAGGCCCCTGCCCTGGGAGGCTCCGCCATCTGAGGCTCCTCCATCCGACCAGACCCTTTGTTAAGCACTGGCTCACAGCCAAGGGAAACATTTTTTAGTGCATAAACTTGCTGAAGCAGTCTCTGTGCTCAGCATTGATCTGCAGGCCCCGGGGCAGCAGCACTGGCAGCTCCAGCCTCACACAGAGCCCTCAGGGTCCATGCTGGGGTGCTACAGAGACCCACACTCTTTGGGACAGACACGCAGTGCCAGGCTCACGGAGGGGGCAGGCCCCACACAGTGCTCAGTGCCATGAGCAAAGCGCTCCTTGCAGAAACAGCATCGTGCCAGCTACCCAAGCGTCAGCGGCATGGGCGATGCAGTCACATTCCAATGCTTATAAGGTAATTGTGTGACCAGAGCCCCGGCCAGCACCCACCCAGGGAACCAGGATGCCCAGGGACAGACACACAGCCAGGAGCCAGACACAGCTTGTGTGAGCATCACATAGGGAGCGGCCCACACCAGGTATCTCAGCCACAACCACCGGCACAGTGGCTCTCACTCATGCTGCAGAAATGGGCTGGTTTTGTGGAGTGAGCCATATCCCAGCGCAGGCACCAGCACAGGCTTCCTCCCCTCCCTGCCCGTTTCGGGGGCCAGCTCAGGTGCGGAGCTGGGAAGCACACAACAGGGGGGCAGAAGGGCATAAGCTGGGGTTGGGACACTGAGCCCAGCACTGGAGTGCAGACCAGGATTCTGGCCCCACAGCTCAGAGATGTGAGAGCAGCTCCCCTCCCCCTGTGGTGGGCACGCTCCGGAAGGGGCCTCCCCGGCCCCCCTCAGCAGCAGAATGACTCTGCAGAGGCCATGCAGCACTTCACATCTCGGCCCGGAACACCCCCAAGCTGGACTGTAGTTGATAAGGCACCAAGGAGGGTACGTGGAACCAGGCAGGGCAGGATGTAGCATTCCCAGAGCCCCAGCACATCTGCATCCCCCACACGGCTCTGTCTCAGCCACCTGGATGCAGTCACCATGGCTTCCCACCCCCAGAGGCAGGAGGAAGGGTGGGTATCGCCGGTCTTGGTTTCTCTTACCCTGGAGATGGAGAGCGGCATGCTGAAATCTTTCCCTCCTTGCAGCCTGAAGCCCCAGGGTGCTGGCCCATTCAGCATCACCTTGTAGGACTCCATGTCACCCATCTCTGCAAGGGAAGAGGGTGTGATCCTGGCATTAGGATACACAGGAAAAACACAGGGAGAGCAGGCAAGGAGGTGGTCTGGTGCCTGACACAACAGGACAGGAGACAGGTCACATTTCCAGCAGTAACTCCACCCTGACCATCCTACACTGTGGTTAGAGATGCACCCTAAAACTATCAGCATCTCCGAAAGCAGTGTCAGAGCCAAGGGGCCCAGGCTAACACTGACTAGTGCCAAAAAGCCAGGCATAGCCCTGCTGGCACTCACAGTGGAGCACCCGCAGGCTTTGCTCTCCCTCACCCAAACTTGGCACGTGTTATCCCTTGCAGTACCTCAGGAACTCACGCTGCTGAAAGCCAAGACCGTTTCAAACCACGGAGGAGCAGCAGCAGGTAGGGAAGGATGGGAACCAGAAGCGGTTTTGCCGGGTGGATTAGCAGCGGCAGCACAGGAGCTGCGGGACGCCACCCGAGGCGCCTGGCAGAGCAGCCAGGCAGCGCTCCGGCAGCTGGCCCAGCACA